TTTTTAATTTATGTAATGTAATGTATAATATTTAATGAATGTAATGTAAATTGAAAAAATAATAATAATAATAATTTTGTATTTAAATACATTTTTTTATTTAAATACCTAGATATTTAAAATATGCCAATTAAATTTAGTTGCTTTACTAGATATTTAAAATATGCCAATTAAATTTAGTTGCTGCCCTCGTGCAGTGAAAGAATCTCGCTTTGCTCCCTATATATATAGGGGGCAAAGCGAGATTCTTTCACCGCACCGCACCACACCGATTTCAATCAAATATAATTTTTGTTAAAAGAACTTTTGTTGCAATATGCTACTTTAAGTTAAATAAGTAACAAAGACATATATATGTTCTTGTTACTTATTTAAATTAAAGTAGCATATTGCAACAAAAGTTCTTTTAACAAACATATTTGACGGAAATCAGCGAGCCAACCAAGTTTTTCAATTAAAAGTGATTAAGATTTTGAAAACTTTCATTTAATTTTCTTTTAAAAGCTATTGATTTAAATAAGTTTTTTAACTGTTAAGTTTATCTAATGATAAAAATTATAATATAAAATACGATGAACAATACGACATTTGTGAAAAAGTTTTTTAAGTATTTTAAAATACTAAAGTATTTATATAGTTATATATCAAATATATTTCTTCAGAACTAATCGTTTAAACCTTTTAAAACTGTATTAAAAAAGCAATGTACGCAATTAATCTAGATCAACGTTTCAATGAAATTTAATCATACATTCATTAAAACAGCAAACAATTGTCTTTAGTTTTTGTTTTCTCTCTTCTTTACTGCAGCCGTTTTTCAAAGCGTCTTATGTAAAAAAAAATCAATTTGGCTTTTTTTACCAAATAAGCTAGTTTAGATGTCTACAAACGTTTTTGAATTACATATTGAAAAAAAAACGTTTTTGAATTACATATAAAAAAATATTATTGAAATACATATTTTTAGAGTTTTAAAAAGTTCATATAAATTATTAGTTTCAAAAAGCGTTTTACAAAGAGTTTCTCCAAATAATTTTTTTTAATTACATTTTTCTTGAAATATGTAATAAGCCAATTAACGCGTTTTGAAAAACGGCTACAATATATCAAACAAAGAGGAGAAACGATTTAAAAATGAAAACTTTAAAAGATTGCCCATAATGAAAGAAGCTAAATAATTAGAATTAAACATTTATAAAGTAGAAAAATAATCCTGCTATAACTATAACACCCAGCAAAAAAAGAACGTTTATTTTGATTAAAATTTAATTATATCTAAAAAATGGATATATACTCACCTTTTTTTTTTTTTTTTTTTTAGCCGCTCCTAATTTCCCAATTTCGCAAAAACGCTGTATGAAATTTTTTCCTGGGTAACACCCTGAATATATTTTTTATGTATGTAATTTTATGTATGTTTATTTTATTCAAATGTAATCTGTTAAAGCAATTTTCGCGATTGATTTTGTAAACCAAAATACTTACAATAATAACTGCATTTTCAATGAAATTATTAATAATCATCAAATTTAATACAAATAATTTTAACCATTAATCCATTTTCCTCAGTGTACCCATAACTGATTCTTCCCCCCAAGAAAGAAAAGTTTTTAAGTTCTTTGAAATTGGTCAATTTTTTTGCTTTAGCCATTCTTACAAGCTCTTTATACTTAAAGTTACTTAAAGTTTTCTGTTTTAAATACTAATTAAAATTATAAAGCCCACATACTAAACATCATCAGCAGTATTGCAAAGCAGTTCCGCTTCCTCCTCACTAAGTAATTTAACGTTGTAGTTAGTTTCTATTTAGCTAATTGAATTTCTATAGTAACTCAATGACTTAATTATTTTACTTGTTCATCTTACTAAAAAGAATTGTTTCAAATGTGTTAAACTTTTCAAACTACGCGAAGCATAAAACAGTTATTGTAAAAACTTTTTCATTTATAAATAAATCATCTAGCGTTAGTTTTATTGGTTGAATCTTGTTTGACTTTTCAGGGCCGGGGGCTGAATTATTTTGGTGGCCTTTTTTATGTGCCACAGCGTAAAAATGACTAAAAAAAATACAGAAACGTTCTCTTGACTATTTCGCGGCCCCTAAAATTGTGAGTCCTGGCTATAGCCCTTCTACCCCCCAACCCCTCCTCAATCCAGAACTGGAAATAAGACATAAGTATATATATAAATTATATATACTCTTTGATAAATTGAAGAACATTTGTTTCCTTATTTAGCAATAATTAATATTAAGTTGTTACTTTATATAAAAAATGTCGCTTAATTTTATTAAAAAATTATAAAAGAGCGACGTTTCAAAAATATTTCCTCTAATCATATTTATTTTGCTTAAAATTTTTTCGCATTAAATGCTATTTTTTAACTGTCTCTCATTGGTCCAGTTAATCTTATTGCGCTTTTCTTTAGTTTTTGAAATGTTCTCAAAATGACTAAAAAATCTGGCCAGTTTTTCGCAGCTAAATATTATTTCCGTGGTCAATTATCGAGTGCGATTGCACCCGCTTCCCGACCAAGCATGCATCGTTGCTTCGTTGTTAGATAAGACTATTTTATTATATTTCAATGCAAGGTCTTGTAATTTTTTCTTTTTGTATCCAATTTCAGCAAACACATTTATTAGGAAATCAATTTCTTTATTTAAAAATTTTTCATAGCAAATTGATAAAGCTCTATGAATAAATCTTTTAAATATTCCTTCTAAGATTTTTTGATTGTTATTTGAATTGGGCTTAACCTGAATGTTTGTTATTGCTTTTTTTTCAATGTATGTTAAAATCATAATTACCTTTACGATTATTGGTTATTTGGATGTCTAAAAAATTTAATCTTTTGTTTTCATCTTCCAATTTACTGTGCATTTGATGGCATTGATGTTGACTGTTTAATTTTTGTTGAAAATGGATGGCATTATCTTTATTTGTAAATCTTGCATGGCTATCATCTACATACTTCAAAAACAATTTTATTTCAAACGGTGGATTAGGATGAAGCACAATGTTGATTGCTTTATTTTCAAAAATTGCAGGAAACCTTTCAACAAGTATTACCATGAGTGAAAGCCCTATTGGACCTGAATCTACAAGCTCGTGAGTTTCTTCATTCCATGAAAAATAACATTTATATAAACACAGTTCTATTAGTGATTTTATTTCTGAAACACCTAGTTTGGTTTATTTAAATTTGGGAATAGCTCTAACATATCAAGAAGAATTTTTGTGGCATTTTCCAAAGGGATTGATGGATATAAATTGACAACGTCATAAGATACCTGTATTTTATCGTTTAATATATTCCAAAGTTTAGCTGTTTTTACAAAAGTTGACAAGCTTTTTAACTTTGTTATGTTTTTACTTAAAATTGGTTAAAACATATTTACTAAATATTGTGATATTCCATAACTTGGTGTCCCGATGGTTGAAACTAATAATCAAACTAAAAAAAGATTTAGTATCTTAAATATAAATTTAAAAGAAAAAGCTAAGACTCCTTCATTTCTTAAAGATGTCGTGTTAAATCTATGTGAAACGGAAATACCAAAAAACCACAGAAATCTTTTAGAACTAGGACCTAATTTTGTTCCAACTATACAAAATATACCCTATTTAGACATAATTTAGTAACAGAATCCACTGCGTTATAACTAGAGTATTGCAACAAAATAGAGAATTCACAAGACTTACGCAGAAACGTGTTGAGGCAACTTAAAATGTTGAGGCAACGTAAAACTGCAAAAAAACAAAAATGTTATTTAAATTATAAACAGAGAAAAGCATTAAAACAAATTAAAGAGGAAAAAAACATTGGTATATACTCTTTAGATAAAGGAGCAGGCTTTGTTAGAATAGAACATAACAAAGTCATTGACGAAATTTGTCAAGAAATTGGCAAAACAAAGATAATTAAAGAGGATCCTACTATTAAATTTATCAAAATTGAATAAAAAAGGGCGATTTACCAAAAAAGAATATGAAAGTCTTTACCCAAGCAACCCAGTACCGCTACATATGTATGGTGTAATTAAAGTGCACAAACCAGAAAAATCATACCCCATGCAATTAGTAGTTTCAACCATTCGATTAGTAGTTTCAACCATCGGGACACTAAGTTATGGAATATCACAATATTTGGTAAATATATTTTAACCAATTTTAAGTAAAAACATAACAAAGTTAAAAAGTTTGTCAACTTTTGTAAAAACAGCTAAACTTTGGAATATATTAAACGATAAAATACAGGTATCTTATGACGTTGTCAATTTATATCCATCAATCCCTCTGGAAAATGCCACAAAAATTCTTCTTGATATGTTAGAGCTCTTCTCAAATTTAAATAAACCAAGCTAAGCGTTTCAGAAATAAAATCACTAATAGAACTCTGTTTATACAAATGTTATTTTTTATGGAATGAAGAAATTCACGAACTTGTAGATTCAAGTCCAATAGGACTTTCACTCATGGTAATACTTGCGGAAGGTTTCCTGCAATTTTTTGAAAATAAAGCAATCGACATTGTGCTTCATTCTAATCCACCGTTTGGAATAAAATTGTTTTTGAGGTATGTAGATGATAGCCATGCAAGATTTACAAATAAAGATAATGCCATCCATTTTCAACAAAAATTAAACAGGCAACATCATGATATCAAATACACAGTTGAATTGGAAGATGAAAACAAAAGATTAAATTTTTTAGACATCCAAATAACCAATAACCGAAAAGGTAATTATGATTTTAACATACATTGAAAAAAAAGCAAAAACAAATATTCAGGTTAAGCCCAATTCAAATCACAATTGAAAAATCTTAGAAGGAATATTTAAAAGATTTATTCATAGAGCTTTATCAATTTGCTCTAAAAAAATTTTAAATAAAGAAATTGATTTCCTAATAAATGTGTTTGCTAAAAATGGATACGAAAAGAAAAAATTACAAGACCTTGCAAATATTGTTATAAAAAAACGACACTCAAATAATGAAATAGTCTTATCTAACAACGAAGTAACCATGCCAACTATATCACTACCATGGATCCCAATATTATCACCAAAACTTCGAAAAATCTTTAGGAAAGCAGGTTACTGGGCAGTCTTTAAATCTAGTGCAAATTTTAAATCTTTGCTAACTTCATGCAACAAAACAAAACTACCATCTAATAGCTATTCCGGAGTATACCTAATAGAATGTGAGTGTGAACAAAAATACACCGGTGAAACAAAAATAAAAATAGCAACAAGAACAAAACAACACCAAAAAAATGTTTTTAAAGAAAAACTGGAACAATCTGCAATTGGATATCATAAAATTAAATGTCCAAGTAATAGAAAATGGGATCAAGTAAAAACGTTAAAAGTAGAAATCAAAAAATTTGAAAGAAAAGTTCAAGAGGCAATTGAAATTCAATTTAACAAATGCCGACCTAAGAACAGAGGTATGAATTTAGATGATGGTCAATATGTAAAAATGCAATTCTGGATGCCATATTTTTTATACCTACGTAATATTAAAGAAGCCCAATTAAAGCGAACTTTAAAGAAGCCATTAAAAAGTGACCCTTTGTCTGTAATTGAATTTAATTAATAATTTGTAATTAAAGCTGAAGATGCTAGTATCAATAATTGTATTGAAGTATTAAACTTTTTTCAAAAATTAACTCTTTATTCCGTGACGGTCGTAATGTTTACTTTTTACCACCTCTGAACAAAACAACTTTGTCAGCTTAATTGCAGCGAACAACACGGTAAAAAAAATAATCATTTGATATGCATATATAGCACATATTGATGTTATTATATGCTGAGTTTCATAGCTTTTACTTGATGTTTTATAAGCATTTTTAATGTGCTTTTTTTTGTCGCGACAATCGTAACCGTGACGTAACCAAAAAACAAATAAAACAACGAAAAAAAAAAAAAAAAAAAAGAATGATTATAAAAACCATGTAAACTATGTAAAAGTATAAACTTTATAACATTATCAAAGTTTTCAATTATAGTTTTTTGATATTGGGTTTGTTAAATTAAAAATAGGTAACTAAAGGCAGGCTGCTATATTTATTTATACTTTATTGCTTTACTAAAGTTTAAATGGTTAATGCTCCCTGTTCCCAAAATAAGTTTATAAAATAATTTGTTCAGAAAAGTAAAATTATCAATTTTAAAATTGTTTTACAAGCTTTGATTGCAAACTTTTGCTTGATTTTTTGCTTGCTTCCTTTTCTTGGTGTTTATAACTGTCTTCTTTGATAACTTCCCTTTCTTTTTTTTTCAAACAACTTTTTCTGTTTCTTGTTCTTTAAGGTTTTGATTTTTACTCACCTGATTTAGGCATTTAAAAAATGTTATTAACTGCTTTCTTTTGAGATTTACGTTCTGTTATAATTTAAAAAAAAAACACGAATTTTATAAATAAAAAAACCACGAAATGGAATGAACAAAAGCGTTGCAATCCAAACTATAAAAAACGTTTTAACTAAAAAAAGGTTTTCTTTATGTTGAAAGTTTTTATTTCTTAACATATATTAATTTCTTTACATCAATTATTTTAAATAAGTTATTTATATTTAAAAAAAGAAATGCTTTCTGATTATTTTAAATTTCAAATTATTCTAAATTACTTTAACAAGCTTAGCAAAATTATGAGTAAACAAACTGATAAATGATTTTCAATAATAAAATCGTTCGCGCTTTAACTTTTTATTCAAAAGTCAAGAAGCTGTTATGGAAAAACAAACATAGCATGATGGTCGTAATGTACTTTGTTACATCTTAATACTATCATCTAAAGTTTTTTTTAAAAAAAATACTGAAACGATGATAAAACTAACATCAGTATCTTTTCTTTTACTATATCCTTAGTTTTATAAAGTCTAATACGAAGCCTAAAAAAAACTTCTCGACTTTTTATCGTGACGGTCGTAATGCATTAATTTGATAAATATATTCTTTTTTTATGCATAGTTGAAGTGCGTTTTTATAAATAATATTCTACATGTTTTGTCTTTAAGTTAAACTTAAAAGTTTCTTAAAAATGCAGCATAGAAAGATTTTTCAACGCTTCACAACATGACTATATACGTCAAAAATTGTTTATATAACCCTTACAACTTTAAAACTATGCTATGGTGTGATAAAATAATTTTTAAAATAACTTTATTGCTTAAAAGTATTCTTAAATAGTTAAAAAAAAGAATTTGTTGGGATTAATATATTTCTTCCTAACTTTTTTTTTTCCACTTTCTCGCGGAATTGCCCATATATATGTGAGTGTGTGTGTGTGTGTTTGTATATATATACATGTAAATGTGTATATATATATATACGTATATATGTATATATATACATATGTATTTACTGTGCAAATATACTGTAGTAGGGTATAGATGTAATACATTTATATGTTTCTTTATCATAGAAGTCTTGGTGTTCAGGTTTCAAAAGTGCGCTCTATTACTCTTGATGATTGGGATCCAGAAACCATAAATGTAAATTTTTAAAATTTTTTTACAAAATTTTGTATTTATAAATAGGCTTTTGTATTTATAAGTTTAAAATGTTACATTATTGCGTTATGATGAAGTAAAACCATTAATTAAAAATAAGCCCAATTAAAATTCCACTTATCTTAATCAAGTTAATACAATAGTGTAAAAATTTTTCAAAAAAAATAAATAAATATTTGTTCCCTACACCACCAAAATTGGTCACAAGTATTTAGAGCCATAAGTTTAAAAAGACTAAATTTTTTTCATAAAATTTCTATCCATTTAGGAATTACAGTGACATGAACTTTGTTCGATAATGATTAAAAAATGGACTGAAAATGTTATATTATTACTATTAACCTTTACTAATATCCTTAATAGGTGTTTGTAGTAATGGTGCAATGCTGAAGTTTGGTACCAAAGATGTTTAATGCCAGCAAGTTTAAGTCTGAAAATTATAGTTTTGTAGCTTTTAAAACAAGGCAATACAGTTTATTTTAAGATTCATAAAAAACACTTAATAATGACAATTGAAAACTTTACAAATATAGGAATAAATGGTTGAGAAAACTTTTATTATTTACTTATAGATTAGATCTCCACTTTATGAACAAATTTTGTTTTGGCCTTATGTTTTATTCAGGAAATATTAATGTTTGATGTCGATACAATATTTTGTGATTTATCACCATCTCTTAAAAATTAATCAAGTTAGAAAATTAGAATCTAGTGAATTTAATACTTATTTATTTATGTGCAAAATCTTGAAAACCCTATTTTTATTTCTAATTTTTTGGTTTTAAAGGCAACAAACAGTTCCTTTAAATTACATTAGAGCACGTTTTTTGCATGTGAACATTTTTTTTTATGTTAATAGTCTTTTTTACCAGGCATTATATGGTTATAATGTTTAAAAAGACTTGACCAGTTGAACTATTACGTCTGGAATAGTTTTCCATTTTTTTATTGTAACTTACGTACAGTTCAAGCTACATAGTTTTTTACATGCAATATTTCAAAAACTTTTTTCTTTTGTTTTTTTCTCAGTTAGACCAAGAGCTTTCAGCTGTTTTTAGATGTTGCTGTAGACTCAACAATTATGATACTAAACAACACAACACAATCATGTTATCAATCGAGTTTGCTTTTTCTATAAACTCAATACTAAAACATGACTGTTCTCCAAACCTTTCTTCAGATATGATTAGGAGGTGGTTGCCTTTTTTGAATGAAGGTTGTTATTGCTCTTAATTTTGGTTTACCTTCTTCTTATTTTACCTGACTTTTGCAATTGTTTGACCGTAATAGCAGATACTCTAACAGCTGTAAGTTTTAAATCTTTTTTATTTTGAGTTGATGTTTTTTTAACAATATCAAAATCTTCATTGTTTTCATTTTTATTTAAGCTTTTTAATCAATGTTTTATCACTCTATTTTGACAGGTCAAAAACCTTAATGGTTGGTCTTAATGGACAGGACAAACCTTAATGGTTAACCTTAATGGACAGGTCAAAAACCTTATTGGTTGTGTGGTAGTAAGCTATTTGATTTGAGATGGAATTTGAGAAATTTGTTGATTAAAAATTTTTTGATAAACAAATTTGATCAAGAACTCTTTGATCAAAAAGCCGGCCTCAGAACCATTAAACTGAGTTTTAGAGTTTACCCTTACTAGGAGATAACAGGAGCATTTATGTAACAGGAGTAATTATGTAAATATATTTTAATTATGTAAATATAATAAAATTATGTAAATATATTGTAATTATGTAAATATATGTAATTATGTAAATATATTGTAATTATGTAAATATATGTAATTATGTAAATATATTGTAATTATGTAAATATATTGTAGGAGCATTTATGATAACAGGAGTAATTATGTAAATATATTGTAAAAAAATATAAAAGAAACTTAAAATATTTTACAAAAAATATTAAATTTGTATGTTAGCCAGCCTTGTGAAACTGTGTTATCTGGGTATTAGTCAGCCTTGTGACACTGTGTTATAGGGGGTATTCTCAACTGCTTATGAAATTAAAAATTCTCGATTTAAAATTAATAGTAATAAAAAAAAATTTCAATTGTTTAATTATGAGAGTTATTAATACAAGGTTCTAATATAATTTTATTTTTTAATACCGATATACTAATTTGATAAAATTTAATTATTTAATTATTACTAAATTATTTTAACTATTACAAAACTTATTTTAAATTCGTTCTATAAAATAACTATTGCTAATGTTAAAAACCTCGATTCATATCTGATTAAAAAAGCCAACTTCACACAGAAAATACAAAAAAAGAAGAAAAAATTTGAGAATTAAATTTAAAAAATTTTTAAAAAATTTGAGAGTATTAAATAATTAAAATCAGTTTTCGGGATATTTTTTTTTGTGTATAATGTTGTTATCTAAAACATTTTTGGCCCATTAAAATCAGTTTTCGGGATATTTTTTTTTGTGTATAGTGTTGTTATCTAAAACATTTTTGGACTATTAAAATCAGTTTTCGGGATATTATTTTTTGTGTATAATGTTGTTATCTAAAACATTTTTGGCCCATTAAAATCAGTTTTCGGGATATTTTTTTTTTGTGTATAATGTTGTTATCTAAAACATTTTTGGCCCATTAAAATCAGTTTTCGTGATTTTTTTTTTTTTTGTGTATAATGTTGTTATCTAAAACATTTTTGGCCCATTAAAATCAGTTTTCGGGATATTTTTTTTTGTGTATAATGTTGTTATCTAAAACATTTTTGGCCCATTAAAATCAGTTTTCGGGATTTTTTTTTTTGTGTATAATGTTGTTATCTAAAACATTTTTGGCCCATTAAAATCAGTTTTCAGGATATTTTTTTTGTGTGTATAATGTTGTTATCTAAAACATTTTTGGCCCATTAAAATCAGTTTTAGGGATATTTTTTTTTGTGTATAATGTTGTTATCTAAAACATTTTTGGCCCAAAAATTTTGGGCGACGAAATCATTTCTGTCAATGTTTTTTCAAGGTTTTTTCCTATAAATTGAAAAATGCATTTTAAAAAAATGATTCAAAAAAATCTTAAATGTATTTAGAAGCAGCATCATAAAAACACATAAAAATGATATTATAATATTTTATATTGCATAAAAGGTTTTATATTGCATAAAAGGTTTTATATTGCATAAAAGGTTGTATATTGCATAAAAGGTAATCAGCTTTTATATTGCATAAAGCATACCAGTTTTTACATTGCATAAAACATAACCAGTTTTTATATTGCATTAAGCATAGGCCAGTTTTTTATTATTGCATAGCTGTTTTACAGTTATTGTGTGAAGCAGCCTGTTTTTATAAAATATGTGTCAAAATCATTAGTGTCAGGTCAGGAGTAAGGTCTTCATAATCATCCTGCTACTGGTAACATGTAACCCAGTGCAACCTGTTCCATGTTCTGCTGCCTTGCAGGATTTACTTTCTAAGTAAAGACTGGAACGAGTGTTCTTCCTGTCATCAGTACTATCTTATATCAGTCATGCCTATAGTAATTTTTTTTTTTTTTTTATATATAGTTGGAGGTGCCTTAGTTACTGTATTAGTTCACCTGTAATCTACTTTATATGTATGTTTGTATTCTCTTACCCGTAAGTTACTTTATGTTCTTTATGTATGTCTGTGTTCTGTCTGAACCTCTGGCGCGGTGTTCGCTCACCCGTAAGTTACTTTATGTTTATGTTTATGTTTTTTATGTTTTTTTATGTATGTTTGTGTTCTTTCTAAACCTCTGGCGCGGTGTTCGCTCACCCGTAAGTTACTTTATGTTTTTTATGTATGTTTGTGTTCTGTCTGAACCTCTGGCGCAGTGTTGACTCACCCATAAGTTGATTTATGTTTGTTTGTGTTCTGTTTATACTCTAATGCAGTGTGAGCTCAGTAACTAACTACTTACTCCAACTACAAAACCTTTCTTTTTTTGAAAAAAGTTTTTCAAAAAGTTTTGTTAGATGCAGTGTTTTTCCTAATGCACTTCCAAAATGTCATGCCTGGTTTTCTTAAAGTACTGTTGCGGAAGTAACTCCTTTTAACTACTCCAGGTCAGGTCAGGATAATCGAGATCAATCTTGCTACTGGTATCACGTAACCCAGTACCACCTGCCACAAGCCCTGCTGCCTTGCAGAGTGTGCTCTTCTTATGCAAAGGCTAGGAGAAATAAACTCTGACTAAAAATTCCCCTGCCTTGGGGCTCTTGGTTGAGTAAAGGCTAGAGATGGTGTCTCAATAAAAACACTCATCTTGGGAAAATGTTAACTGCATCCAGCTAAACACCCCCTGCCTTGGGGCTCTTGGTTGAGTAAAGGCTAGAGATGGTGTCTCTATAAAAATACTCATCTTGGGCAGATGTTAACTGCATCCAGCTGCTGTCTTGTAGAAGGCCTCCTAGGCAAAGACCTTAGGGGTAAGCAGAAAAATTCTGCTAACCAGCCTCGAACCCCTTCTTCATCTTTTAGGCTGGCGTAGATGTAACCTGTGTTACATTGTTTCCTGCCTAGGATGATGAATGCTGGATCTCCTTGACTCTACTCATAGAATTTTGCCTGTGCCTCCTTGATAATGGCTATGCAACTCTTCCTGTTATCTCCGTATGAGGGTACAGCTCTAAAACTCAGTTTAATGGTTCTGAGGCCGGCTGGTAGTAAGGTTTCCCGAACTCTGTGGTAGTTCTCATAGAGGCTGATTCCATCAACAGCTGCAAAATATCAGAGTATTAACAGTGCCATGTTGTGCATGGGTGGTGTCCCTGTTAATGCTTTTGGTGTGCATTGTCAAGGCCACATAAGGAGCCCTATATCACGGCTTAGGGTTAATTAACAGGACTGAGACAACTGCATAGCTCATTGATTATGAGGCTGTGCTCTATCTATAAATGAGTCAAGTTCTCATTAAACCCAAATCATGACCAAAGTAACCAAAAATTTAAACCTAAAAAACCATCCCCACCACCTATATCTTT